GGCGTCCAGATTCAGCCGCTGTTGAAACTGATCAGTTTCAACAGCGGCTGAATCTGGACACCAGTTCCGACTTACATACAGATTCAACTTAAGAACAAACCTACTGTCCCTATATTGTACGTAACCCGGGGACTGCCTGTATGTTTTTTTCTTCAAGGCACTGGTATGAGGGCAAAGTTAAGGTTATTTGGGTAACTGACATTTCCCCAATTTCTGATATTTGTTTTTTGTCTGGGCAAAGCTGGCCAGTCACATGGTGCTGGGTCCTCTTTATTTCATGTAAACAATTGCTGTAGTTAATTAGTGTCATTTGATTCCCATTGGGAGAGGAGATAGTCCATGCAAGCCTGCATTGGAAGGGATGTGGTTCAAAAGACAATGTTTGGTTTAAAATGTACATCATCTTATTAAAAATGTTGACAACTCCTGGACTAGATAGTCAAACCATATTTAATATCCATAATTGTGTACGCATTACAGTAAAATGTTAAGGCTTGAAATGTAAGAGAGTACATTCTGTACATGTTAAAATTATAAAATATTAAAATGGAAAATATTTACTGATGGCTTTTAGGCAACATTCAATGCTTTAATTATAATTTAAAGCAATAGATTATTTTTAAATAGGAAAGTCTACATACCAGCTTTAGGGTTTCCAGGATGTTTGTCAGGATGACACTCAAGGGCTTTAACCTTAAATTCTGCAAGAATTTGTTCAACCTAAACAGAATATCAACATATAAAATTCATAAATACACACACACACACACACACACACACACACACACACACAAAGATGTTGGAGACTGGGTTTGAGGAGTGGGAAGTTTCTGTGTCTGTTTTGCTTTTTTGCTTTTCCAAGATCCTGTATAATCAAAATATTTTACAAGAACCACGTGACAGCTGTGTCACTAATTTAATTTTGTTCTCTGTGCTCCCATGTTTACCCTTTTCTTCATAAACATGACCTTTTTCCATTGCTGCATGCTTTGGTTTTAACAAAACTGTAAGTAAAAGTTCATACTTGTAAGACTTATTTCCAGCTTTTTATCTGGACATAAGAAATGTATAACTTCCGCTTTTGTTCTCATTATTTAGTCAGCTCAAATTATGAAGATTGCTCCAGTGCAGAGGGCACCTGCAAAACTCTCTACATCACTGGAATCCTATGTTAAGAGTTTATGTGGCCTTAGGTGAATCTTCTGCAAGGGGGTAAATTTCACCTAAAAGGTGGAAACTTAGCACACAATAGTATCTGTTGGATTCATGAACACCACTGAGATACAGAATGATTTCTGCTTTTTCTATCAAGTTGAACTTCTCTTGGAAAAAAGATAAAGTTGGCCTGTAATGAAGTCAGTTCTGTGGTCAGTGCTATAATGATAACATGGACTAGTTGTGTATTCATCACATCTTCTCATAACAGTTTATGGTACTATAAAACATTATATTAATTGTAAAAAAGAATATATTGACTCCTGACATACGTGCCATGAAATCTCATGTCACTAGTTGGGAACTGACACACAAATGGTCTGATCCAGCATGGCAAATCTGTATTTCACATCAGAAGTGCGTCACTAGTTTTTGTAACTACAGTAAACTTCCGATAATCCGGCACCTTTAGGACCCAGGGGGTGCCGGATTATCAAATATGCCGGACTATCAGAAGGGGGGGCTATGAGGGGTCAGGAGTGGGGTGGGAGGGGATGCCACCCCAGACCCCTCATAGCCCCCCCTTACAATAGTCCGGCTCTGCCCCAGGCGTCCCTGATTCAGCTGCTGCTGGTCAGTTTCAGCAGCAGCTAAATCGGGGATGCCTGCAATAGAGCAGCTGGGGTGCTGCCGGGTTGGTCCCGCAGCGCCGAGGGGCGGCGCT